ATATATATATATATATATACACACACACATATATGTATGAAAAGACTAATAATAGTATGTTATACATCAGTAGCAGCAACAGCTTTTCCAGGTTCTGCAGTCATCTGAACACAATTATAGACATTTAGCACATTCCATTAAATACAAAACAAAACAAAGAAAAGAATAATATCCAGAAAACAGCAAAGTTCTGTTGCTGTTGTGGTACCTGGCACCATTTTTTTTTATTAGCATCTTAATCATCATCTGGAAAGAGAACATTCTAGACTAATATCATTAAATGTAGCTCTGATAAAGCACGGTCCCTACTATGTATCATAAAGCAGGTATAAGATATTTTACATTCATAGAGGTATGATACAGTACCGTCCTACATCATTAATACTAGAATCAGTTTTGGTTTGAAATTTACTTTGTCTGCAAATAGGATTGCTACCCCTGTTTTTTTCTGGGCTCCTGTCACATGGAGAATTGTTTTCTATCTTTTCACTTTCAGTCTGTGGGCTTCTTTTTGCGCTAGTTGTGTTTCCGGTATACAACATATTGTTGGATTTTGCTTCTTATTCCATTTTGCCAGTCTATTTCTCTTGATTGGTGAGTTGAGGCCATTGACATTGCTGGTTATAACTGATATGTACTGACTTATTATTGACATGTTATTGGCCTTTTGTTGACTCTTTTTACTTTTTCACCTTCTCCTTTTAATTTCTTGCCTTGCCTATTTGATTTGCTCTGTTGGGCCTCATGGTGTTGTTGCCTTCATTGTCTTTTTCTAGGATCTTGTTTAGAATTGCTTGTAGTGCTGGTTTGGTATTCATGTAGTTTCTCAGGTGTTCTTTGTCGTGGAAGTGTCTTATTTCCCCCTCCATTTTGAAAGAGAGTTTTGCTGGATACATCAGTCTAGGTTGGAGGTTGTTCTCTTTTAGTACTTGAAATATCTCATTCCAGGCTCTCCTTGCCCCAAGGGTTTGTGTTGAAAAGTCTGCTTTGATTCTGATGGGCTTTCCTTTATATGTGGTTTGTTTCTTTTCTCTTACTGCTTGTAGTATTTTGTTCTTCTGCTGGGTTTCTGGGATCTTGATTATTATATGTCTAGGTGTAGATTTTTTTTTTTTATTGTGGCTATTTGGGGTCCTATATGCCTCAGTTATCAGAATGTCAAATTCTTCCTCTCTGTTTGGGAAGTTTTCTGTCATTAATTCTGCAAACAGCTTTTCAAAGTCATTTGTATTTTCTCCTGCTACTTCATGGATTCCTGTCAGTCTTATGTTATTCTTTGCATCATCTGAGAGTTGTTGAATCGATTTTTCATGATCTCTTACTGTTTTTAAGAGACCTCTCTTTTCATGGTCACTGACTGCAATCTTATCGTCTATATCTGAGAGCCTCTCTTCACATTCTTTTATTCTTTTGTGTACACACTTTCAATAGAGTGTTTAATCTCCTTGATATCTATTTGAATCTGTTTTATGGATTCCATTTCTTTCCTATGTTGGGCATTTATTTTTTCCATTTCTTTCTTATGCTGGGCCTTCATGGCTTCTATCATGGTCCTGAGCTCATCTATTTTTTTGTCAGTTTCTGCTCTAGAGTCTTGAATCATGACTTCCATTTTGCTCACTATCTCTATGGTTATCTGGGAAATTATTTCTATTTTGAATTTTTCTAGAGCCTGATTGATCTGTTTTGTTCCTTCCTGTGCTTTGAGTTCAGGGTGTCCTGGTGGTTCACTATTCGACCTTTTCATCCTCATTTGCCGTACTGTTTGCCATTGGTAAACTGGAAGTCTGTCTTTGTGTCTCGCTTAAGTGTTTTCTCATTTTTATTTTTGTTGTCGGACTGTCCTTAGTTTAATCTCTGGATTATCACCCAAATCTTCCTGATATAGTTGCGCCCTACCTTCTGTGTCTCTAGCGAACCACAGACATTCTCATCTCCATAACATCAGAGAAAACAGCTCATCAAATCAACCGCAATGCTTTACCCCAACTGATTCAATCAGCAACACATTAAGATCAAGCACAACTTGGACACTGACCACCGGTGCTAGTCACTAGTCTATCACCCTTAAATCATTTGAATTAAATTGAAATCAAGAAGCAGTCCAGAACATGACTGCAGTGAATAAAATTTCAATATAGTGTATTTACCATTTAATGGCTCAGACAGAGTGAGGATGCAAGACCCCTGATCTCAGTTAGCTGATGGCTGAACCCCATGACGCTGACTGACCTCAGGCTGCAAGGTCCAGACTGAGTTCCCCAACCTTCTAAATGGATGAACTCCACAACATTCTATTACAGGTTTCCCACGCCCTTTCTTTAAAGATGTTCAAAGTTGGGAACTCAGAAAAATACCCTTGACCACCTCTGTCTTTGCAGAGTGGGTCCAAAGACTTGCACAGTCAGGAGGTCTGAGAGTGCGGGGGGAGGGTGCTTATGGAGGTTCTGGGGCGCCCGCGCAGCTACCTTCCCAGCGCTTGAGTGATGGCGGTTGGGTCAGGAGCTGGTGTGGTTCTCGAGCCATTTGTATTTCTTCTCTATAAATATTACTTTATTATGTCTTTTGTGTGTTTCCTGATTGGATGACTTATTTTTTTATTCTCCATTTCTAGGGGTTCTTTACATATTAGGGAGAATAGTCAGTCCTTTATAATATGATATGTATATTTCTGAGTTTCTTAAAGTATTTTTTTTTACTTGCTTAGAGTGTTTCTTTAGGACATGGTGGTTAAACAAATGAAGACCAGTTAACTGACTTGAATTCCCACCTTTTTGTCTTTCTACTTTTGTTTAGGAACCTGGTTGTTGTATTTGCCGTGTACCTGGAGCATTGGTTTGGCAGCTGAGCCTGGGTGTTTTCCAGATTGGTACATGTTATCCCTCTTTGGCACTGGAGCTATTCTGATGCGTGGAGCAGGCTGTACCATTAATGACATGTGGGACCGTGAATATGATAAAAAGGTAGTGTCAACCTGGGAAGTAACAAAAGGCAGCTCTCAATTCTGCAGAATGCCTTGGTTGCATCACTTTTGAGTGCTACATAAAGCAGCTTGCGAAGTGTGGGCCTGAGGGAACAGCTGGTCGTGCAGGTGAAGTTCACTTTCTTTCACGACACAGGGCAAGGTGTGTATTTTGACAGTGAAGAATGTGGAAGGTGAAGGTAAAGGAGTTAAAGGCTAGGAATGTAAGTGAGAAATCCATCCTGAACCTTTTTTATCCAAAAGGTTGGCCATCCCTCCTTTTGAGATGCACTTTGGAACCCTGACTTCTTTTTTTTTTTTTTGGTGGTTGGTACTGGGAATGAAACCCAAGGCCTCCTCCATACAACTCTGCTAAGTGCCTGTCTACCACTGAGCTGAGTTGTCTTCCCAAATCAAATCTTAATTTAACTGAATCAAGGCAGTGCTATTAGCATTACCTGTACCGGAGCACCCACTTATTCTGTTTGCTTTTCAGGGTTTCAGTTACCCACTGTCAACCACGATACAAAAATATTGGCACTGGGGATTTAGGTCAGTGGCACCGCACCTGCTTTGCAAGTGCAAGGTCCTGAGTTCGATCCCTGGTACCAGAAAAAAATTAAATGAAGGTTTTCAGAAACAGTTCATGAGCTTTAAATTGTGCACCATTCTGAGTAGTGTGAAGACATCTCTTACTAAAGTATATTGTTATAATTGTTTTAATTACTATGGTTACTCACCGTATCTAAAATATAAATTTAATTTCCCATTGGTAGGTATTTATGAGAAGAAGCATAGTATAGTTGGAGTTTGGTACTGTGCGATTTCAGGCATCTAGTGACGGTCTTAGAATGTGTCCCCCATTGATAAGGAGTAACTGTAATTAGTTACTTGAAGAGACACAACTTTATTCTTTTTCTTCTTAGAAAAATGTTACATGCTTGTTTAGAAAAATTCTGTAAATGCAGAAATGAAAAGTTAGAAAGTACACATCCTTGTCTTCTCCTTAGTCCTCAGAGAAAACTTTGGTTAACAGTTTACCCCACTGTATTCCTCTGTATTATTTTGGGCATATTCTAATGCATGTGTTTAATTATTTCTTTGTTATTCAACAGACCTTTACTTTCTCAGAGAGAGAGGCCATTTTGTTTCCTTTTTATTCCAGTGGCTGTGCCCTGTGTTCAGGATCATTAAGTGTTTGTGTAAATAATTAATTTTGAATTGAAAGGAAGCCTATATTAAATTATATAATTTCTGTAAACATGTAATCATCACCCCTAGTTTACCTTTCATATATTCTAAATTTTCTTGAAGCAAAACACGCATAGAAGAATTTTTAGTTTATAGCACAGTGTCACATTCATACCATTTTAATTAAGAGAAATTTATTGAATACTTGCTGTGTATGGGACCAGTAACAAGGTCTCAGTTGCATGATGGGAAACATGCTGACCTCAGGATTGGTGTATTATAATCCAGTGACAGTTCCGTGAGAATGCTACCCACCTCTTAGCTGAAGGGAGGCCCAGAGAGAACTTGCCAGGAGTAGGGGACTAGGGTTTAGCTTTGAACTCTGTCAGGATAAGATGGCACAAGAGTAGGAGGCTGGAGGTTGAAGGCTACAGTAGGCAGAAGGAACAGCAGGCTCAGGGGGACAATATATTACATTTGATAACTACAGCCGGGCAGTAGGACAGGATGTAGAGGAGAGTGGCAGGAGCTGTATGACAAAGTGACTCCATGCGCTGACATGGTTGGGGTGCCTGATTTCCCAGCAGATGCACCCTTCTTGATTTAGAGGCTCACACTTCCATTTGTTTATGAGGATTAGATCTGTTTAGATAAACATGAGATTATTTGGAAAGCATTTTGTTCTTAATAACCTACTACCAAAACTAATTTAAGACCTGTGATTGAATAGGGAACTTGAAGATGAAATGCAAAATTGTTATTTTTTTCTGTGTTTTGGGTTTTTTTTTTTTTTTTTTTGGGTTGTTTTTTTCCCTGGGGAT